TAATTTTCCTCCAGACTCTGTCAGACTTGCTGGCAGGATTGTTTTTAAACTAGTAAGTGACATTCTTTTAGATTTATTCAGTGTAGCAGATTCAGATAAATACTTTTTCACTCTGCATTTTTAATGTAATTAAGAGCTAGAAAGCTGAAGTGACTGGAATTGCTGAACAAAATTGGACTGCATATTGCATTACAAGATTACTGATTAATTTGCAGAAATGCTGGAAGGATCAAGAGATACTAAAATGGACATAATTAAGCTCAAAGGACCTGTTTATCGACTTTCTCTTCCTATGACTATGTGGTAGCATTCTAAACTTATTTCTGCCTAGAAGGAAAGCACAGAAGGACACTGTCTTTTCTTCAATACTGCTGAAGTTACTGGTGCTTTTCCATTAACTTCTCTGGGAACCTCATTCAGCCTTATTTGGATGAGTGGTAAGGACAGAAACACTGTTAGCTAGCCCTTCCTTTAGAGGGCACAATGCCATACTTTCAATGTTGGGTTCTCTTAATCTCAATTTTTTTTTTTTTTCCTTTTTCTAAACTCACTTGGAAGTCCTGAGTGTTTGACATTCCCAAGGTTTGATTAATTTATGTGGACTAAATTTTCTGTTAGGTTAAGCAGTTTATGACTGTGTGGGATTGTAAATCAAAAAGGATTTGCCCTTTTTTTTTTTTTTTTTTTGCTGACCCTGCCATGATGCTGTCTGTCTCGGATAAAAACATGTGCATTTGTTGTGGTCTGAGGTGATAAAATATGATTTAATATCTTAATTTATATATTGTTGGGAACAGTGTGTGCATGATTGTTTTTTAAAGGGCAAATATGTACCTAGCTATACTGTGCATTAATTATAGTCACATGAAATCTGAGACTGCTAACCTCATAAATTGCTTTCAGTTATGGTGTGAAGGGCCAAATTACTAAGGGTAAGCTGTCGAAGTGTTAAAAAAAAAAAGTAGAAAGTGTTATAACACCAAGAAAAATTTAGTATTTTTATGATAGTTTACAGCAAGTATGGAATGACCAGATTTATGCTGATGCTGTTAGCCTTACCTAATTATCTTACAGGTATATTACATTGATTATTCAACCTTGTAGAGTGTTTTCAAGATAGTGTGCTATCTAAGTGTTAATTATCTGTTTTTCTCTACAGCTTAGACAATCAGTATGCCTTTCAGAGAGACTCTACTCTTTTTCCAATCTTCAGTCAAGTAAGTAATTGCCAACCATATTGCAGGAAGTGCTTCCAAGTTCTGCTTTACAGAATGGCCATCTGATTTTCTTGCAGCTTGCCTTCTGAAGGTCTGCTCTGTAGAATAAGAGAATCAAAGACAAAACCTGCTAAAACCTCTGTGGGGAAAACCAGTTTTTTCAAAGATCAAGGAAAAAACATGTATGTCTTGTTCAAGCAAAACGTCCACCTGATTTTTCGGTTTCAATATTTTTTCTCATTTTATAGTGCACAACTTGCCTGTTCAGTTTTTAATTTACCCGATGTCTGCCTTATTACATACAGTGCCAATATTTTTATATACATACACAAAAATACATATATTTTTTATATTGAGGTTTTACTTTTTTAATATTTATGTGCTATTGCATAAAGCTTCAAAATAACTTCCAGAAAAAGGAAAGAAATCTAAAATTTATGTATGTCTTTCTTCTACATGACTTTTCAATGGAGAAAAAAAGATAAAATTGTGCAGATGTTTTTGTGGTTTTACAAGTTTCAGTTGCTTGGGTAGGAAAGGATGCTCATTATAATTTCTCAGCAGAGCTAATGTTGAAATAGAAAACATTTTTTCCAGATTTTGCGGTAGCTTAAAGGTTAAAGACTTAGAAGGGAAGAAATACATCCTTAGTTCATTCTTGCATCTTGCTTAAAGGGATTTTCTAGAGAGTAATGTGAATATTTTGATTACCTCTACATTTTTTAGTGTTGTACAGAGCTTTGGCTATAAACCAGCTTGATCTATTGATATAGTTAGGTAGAAATAAAAAACATAAACATAAACCAATACAATAACTAGTATTCCGTTTTACTTCTGTACATCCTGACATTCTGCTGCCTTCTCCTGAACTGCAAGGGCAAAAGACCTTAATAAGGCAACAAATTAAAAGGCATAGAGGTAATGCATTTCAATAATGTAAAAGTAAGTTTGCAGACGACACCAAGTTGGGCGGCAGTGTTGATCGGCTCGAGGGTAGGAAGGCTCTGCAGAGGGACCAGGACAGGCTGGATCGATGGACCGAGGCCAACTGTATGAGATTCAACAAGGCCAAGTGCCAGGTCCTGCACTTTGGCCACAACAACCCCATGCAGCGCTACAGGCTTGGGGAAGAGTGGCTGGAAAGCTGCCTGGCGGAAAAGGACCTGGGGGTGTTGGTCGACAGCCGGCTGAACATGAGCCAACATGCCAACAGCATCCTGGCCTGTATCAGAAATAGTGTGGCCAGCAGGAGTAGGGAAGTGATCGTGCCCTTGTACTCGGCACTG